ATAGGGAACACGGGAAGTTTACAGGTCAACGTCCACGTAAGCAGTACGCGTGTTGCTGTGAGTCAAACTTCAACTACTTTTTCGATAGTGGATGTTGATCTAAACCACTTTCATGACATTTAAGCTTCACCTTTATCACATTATGTCCTAATTGCTTTACCTTCATGTGAATTCCATAAAATCGAATTTTTCAATCAGTGCTTTCTTCCACCATCCACGTACATGCCGCTTTGAAACTCGCCCCAATTGCACGAAATTCAGGTGGTGCGCACTATCTGCAGCTGTACCGAAAAAAACAAGCACGGCGACCCTTATTTTTCTTCATTATTTTAATAATAACAATGCTTCCTTTCAATGGCAATTCTATGACCAGCGGAGAAGGAAGCTGTATCACACACTGTAGGGCATGGAAGACAACTGGAGGAGAAACGTCGAGTTAAATGGACTAAAGGCCTTTGAAAAGAGTGTGGATAACTGATATTTCCTGTCCCATAGGACGCTAATAATTCCCTCAAGTATAAATAAGCCTGTTCCAGGCTACAAGATAATGGGGAAATGGATCGGAAAAAAAGCGCGAAATTTTGAATCATGGTTGAGTAGTGAACATTTTCTACTGTATCAGCTAGATGGGCTATCATTTTAATGTCTGCTTTTTCCCTGTGCAAACAGACGCATTCTTGACCGTGTACAGTTGATGCTGTGGATTAGTTACAGGAATTGTTCTTTCATCATGCGTTTCTGTTGAACTTATGGCGACGAGATCTTTGCCACATGGCAAACGACTTGATAATATGGAACACCTTGTAACCAGTCAATTGCTTGAGGCAGCGACCTGTTCTTGTGTCTTCAAATTAACTTATTTCTTACTTCATTTTTTTAAACCGACGGTTTTCTCTTTTATATGACTAGAACAGTTTTTTTCTTGCCAAACCGAGTCGCATGCATATTTAGAATGAGATAGCACAAACTCTTACCCGCGGAACCAACTCAACCAAGAGAAAAGAGAGAAAAAGCATGTGCACTTCCAAAATATGGCCTGCATTTATATATGTGAAGAGAGGAAAATAACAATAACAATTCGCTTCCAAATTTAAACATGATCTGTATTGTTGTACCTGTATTTTGAAATAAAACGTCTTCCCCGGCACCCAAGTCTTTCACCTCTCCAACGCGAAATTGATCCACCTCTTTCTTAGTCTGCTACACAGCCGTTTTTAGTGTCGTCACGTAACGCTCCTCCTCAGGAGCGTTGCGTGACGACACTAAAAACGGCTGTGTAGCAGACGACCTCTTTCTTCTTTTCTTCTTTATCGGGCATTCCTTTCTTCGGGTATAGCTACGTTGTTGCAACGTGCTGCAACACATCTCTCAGGCATTTTCCACGGTATATTTTCCACGATCGAGAAAGATACAACCAAATTACTTGGCTTGACAGGAATACGAGTTCCTGATCCTTCGTCACGGCTCAAGTCCAACCGATAGGAGACTAATGCGAATGGTGGAACAATATGGTGGCAAGAAAAAAAAATCGGTTTTCGTCGGAATTAAAAAATTCCTTCGGGTAGCGTCATTGCTCAATGTGTAGATTTGGATGAGAAAATAGAAAAAATTCCTTGTGGGCACTTAATATCTAAAAGAGCAAGAAAAATAACTTCGCAGGGGGTCTTGGGTCTAAAAAATTTCATTCGCTGCTAATTAGCTGGAATTAGAGAATGAAGCTTGGCACTGTATCAGGAAATGACCGGCCTGGGAATGTAAATATTCCTACAAAGTTTGGCGCTTGTATCAAAAATCGCATAATATTTTCTAGGTAAGCCGCCGGACTACGCAGAGTTGTTTGCTTTTTTGTCGTCCTCGTTGCACTGACCAGCGGATGTTGTATTTTCCCGCGCCTCGCCTCTTGTTAGCTTGATTCTAGCTTGATAAGAAGCCATTTTGGTTCTCATTTTGGTTCAGCCCCTGGGTTCAGCACGTACTTTGATCGCTGAAATGAGCTCGAAAAGGATGACAAAATCAAAGCAGAAAACAGATGAAGAACAAGCGAAATGTAACACACACTCTCACGATTTCACAGCCGACGAAATCGAGTTCATTCGGGCAGAGCTTCTTTCTTGGTACGACAAGAACCGCAGACAGCTTCCATGGAGAGAACGCGCGTCCGAACAGGATCCAAACAAGCGAGCGTATGCTGTATGGGTATCTGAAGTGATGTTACAACAAACACAAGTGGCCACTGTGTGTGATTATTACAATCGCTGGATGGAGAAGTGGCCAACTGTCGAACAGTTGTCCCGAGCAAACTTAGAGGAAGTGAACGAGTTGTGGTCGGGTCTGGGTTATTATTCTCGAGCAAAGAGACTTCATGAGGGAGCTAAAAAGGTCGGTACAACGAAGTGGTGCTTGTCTAGTTTTAAACCTGTTATTTATGGAGTTAATTTTGAAAGACGAAAGTTTCGCAGCTGCTAATGTGCTATTTATATTTCATTATTGACATTTTTTTATATCGGAGCCCTTCGAAAAAACGTCCGGGCTGCCGGTCAACTGACCTCCTAGAGACTCCTCCCCAACTGACTTGCTAACATTGCTGGGGAAAATAAAGACACAGTACGCGAATACATTTCGGCTACTCGACCTCGTAAAGAAAATTTTCGTTTGTTTATAAGTACAATAATGAATGTCAACATAAGTGAGTTTTATGCAAATGAATTATTTGATACCCAGTTAAATTGATTGTAATCCAAGGGCTGAGGACTAAGGATTTCCCCTGGCTGCCATAAGGACGACCCTTAGGAGAAAACTGAACCTAAAGAACTTCCTTCCTGTTCAATTACCCACCTAGTTATTGCCTTTAGTACCTATCAACTTAAAATCTTAGTGACAGCCTTGGTAATGTATGGTTCAATATTATTTGTAACCATGCCTCCCCCTGGGCACATTCCCGGGGATTTGCAATTTTCTTTTTCTTGGAGGTCTATTCCCCACCCCCAGGCACGCGGAAAGAGACATTAGAGAGATTAAGATTCATGTTTTCAGCAAACGGCAAATGTCAGAGTTAAGTTAAATTGAGAATTTCTCAGAATACAATGTAGAAAATAATCAGATAAAAGCTGTCCAGAGCAATTCTTTAAGATAAAACTGGTGTGAAACTACTTATTTTTGAGTACAAGTAATAAACAGTACACAACAATTAAGGGAAAAAGTTGGTCACGTGATACAAATTCTTGTTTGCTGTTTGGCGTAAACGTGAATCTTAGTCTTTCTAATTCCCCACCCAACCCCCCCAGTTCCCGATTGACCCCATATACGTTTTTTGCTACGTTTTTGATCCATTTGTGCCAGACCAGATATGCATGTGCCATTTAGCTCAGACTACACAATTTGCGATTTTCAATCTTAAACGAAGTTTGTTTTCAGTTTACATGATACCAGAATGAAATTTCGTACCAGAACAAGAATTATTTTATTTAGAATGAAAACTGGAATTACTTGTATGGGAACAAAAATTAATTTTGTCCCAGTATCATGTGTACATATGCAAAGAAATAATTAACAATTAATGAATGAGGCTGAGTATCTTATGAAGAATTATGGAGATTGAGGAGGGTGTTATCTGTCGAGGCGGTAGGCTGAGGCAGATAACACCCTCCGAGATCTCCATAGTTCTTCATATAATACGAAAGCTGAATTCGATAATTGTTTTATTATTCATTCAAAATAATTCCTAGTTTAAAAACATGGCTAAAACGTGCTTACCTCCATCGATCCATCGATGTTAAGTTCATCTTCGATAGTGCACGTTTAGGTTTGTCCAGGTCCGCAAATATTCTCCAAATAGCAGATGTCGACCTTCGAGTTGTCCTCTTGCTGTTCTTGCCATGTTTTTAGCTATTTGTTCGCCTAGTTCTTACTCTTGAAACCAGTGAAACGACCGCCATTTTTGTTTCCACAACCAAAACAACTCAACCTCGTCCCCAGGTCTTCTCGGTTAACGGTGCCTTAACCTGCGAAAGCGCTGCATTTCTGAGGTCATTTCCTCGTTAAAGTCAAATTTCTTCCAAATTTGGTCATCAGTAACTGGTTATGGTGAATTAAACATGTGCTTTTAGCCAATCAGAATTGGGAAAATATTTTGAATGAATAATAATAATTATTATATGGAGATGGAATGAAATTATTGTTAGATGGAATGAAAATCAATCTGGTATCCATGTAAACATATTTCTTTGCAGATCACTGGTTTATAATACAGCAGTTTTTGCTGTCATGAAAGAATATTATATGAAGTTCATATATTTGCATTGCAGAAAAAGATTTAAACGGAAGAAAATTCCTCACAGCTACAGGGTGTTTCAAAAGTTTGTTCCGATTGAAAAGTGCTTTTTTTATAAAGCATTTGATGCTTCTATAGGCAAATTGAAACTGATTCAGTTAAGAAATTTATCAAGAAAACAGTTCAAAGCGATTTCAAACTAAAATTTGAAGAAATAATGATGTTTTTGAAATTTTGTGCCAAATGTGTATGCGTGCTTGCTTTTTCCTGCCATATTTTTCTTGCCCATTTGTAGGTTTTCTTATTTTGTATTTTTGCCTTTTTTTTATTTTCTCCGCTCTTTCACGGAAATGAAGCCCAAAAGCCGTTTGTTTTGACAATTTTTCGAGAAATTCAATCGAAAAGCTATTTATAAGTGTGATAATTAAACATGAGGGATAGCTGAAAAAACTTAAACTTCACAATATCAAAGTTTTGAGCACAACGGTATGCAGATAATATGACCAACAAAAGGTGGAAAGCTTCAAGCAAAAGAAGCGGCGCACACTTCAGAAGCGGCTCAGAGATGGTGTCAGAAGAATTTGCCAAATGTTATACCAAAAGAACCACTGCAACAGCAAACTCACCTGATCTGAACATTTTGGAGTGTCACTGACGAGACAGCGTACAAAGATCTAGCCCACAAAACACTGGACGAGCTCAGAAGGTGACTCAACTTTGCCTGGAAAAATGTGACCTTACGAAGCTCGCGCATTCTATACCCCACCGCTTAGAAAATGTTAAAAATAATAAAGGTCCCTCCTGGTTACTAATATTTCTTTTATTCAATATAAAATGAAAAAGGAATGACATACCTAATTGTAAAAAAAATTAGTTTTAGTAACCATTGAATTTTAAGCGAAAAAAAAAATTGGAACAAACTTTTGCAACACCCTGTGTATAGATACGTGTACACTATAATTTAAGCAGTTATAATTCTTAAAGCCTAGAAAAAATTCAGGGTTGTACAGGATTAGGGGTATAGAAGATACTACTATAAAGCTACAAAACACAAAATAACCAAACAAATTTCATTGGTACTACTTAATTTACAGCTACTAAAATTACAAAATATCATGTTGTTTACACTTACTTAATAGGTTGTGGATGAAATGAAAGGAGTCATGCCCACAACAGCCACTGAACTCTTGAAGCAGCTTCCGGGTGTTGGCAGATACACTGCTGGTGCTATCGCATCCATTGCCTATGGTGAGTGCACTGGAGTGGTTGATGGGAATGTCATAAGAGTTTTGTCTCGTCTTTGTAGCATCGGAGCTCAGACTTCAAGCAACCAAGCTGTGGAAAAGTTTTGGGAACTTGCCAACAAAATTGTCCCTGAAGACAGACCTGGAGATTTTAATCAAGCCTTAATGGAATTTGGTGCAACTCTGTGTACTCCATCGTCCCCAAAGTGCAATACATGCCCTCTGCGAAAGCAATGCAGTGCTTTAAAGCAAGTAGAGGAACACAGGACTGCCGCAAGCCTGTTGTTAAGTGGGAAACCTTTGAAATCTGATAAAAGCTTTGATTCTGTGAGTGGTGCTGCAAATGACAAAAATGTTGATATTGAAGAATGTGATCTCTGCCTTCAATCATCCCAGTGGGATGTTTCCCTTGGTGTCTGTAATTATCCACAGAAAGTGAAAAAGAAACAAGCCAAGGAAGAAACACTGGCAGTTGTTATCGTTGAGAGAGATTCGGAGGCTAGTGTCCAGTACCTCACAGTTCAGAGGCCCAAAACAGGTCTTTTAGCGGGCCTGTGGGAGTTTCCCAACCTTACAGTGGAGTCTAACTTGGCTACGTCCAAGATGTTTTCATCTCTGGTTGACTCTGTAGAAAGTGAATTGGGGATCACCCTACAAGGTGTTGAGTGTCAAACTAGCATAGGTGAAGTTTCACATCAGTTTTCACACATTCATCACAAGTATGTTGTCTTCTCCTGCAAGTACAGTGAAGCTGACATTTTAGAGCGGACCACTCAAGGGAAGAGAGCTACAAAGTGGATTTCACAGGGTGAGCTAGCAGGCGCTGCTCTTTCTACTGCAATGAGGAAAGTGTTTGCTACTTTCGAAAAGTACAGAAATGGGACAATTCAACAAAAGATAGTCAAAGGACAGAAAAGAAAAAAAGGAGCTCTACATGATGGAAGGAAGCAGATGGTACTAGAATCATTCTTTAAATCTAAAAACTGACATTGATCAGTATCAAATCTGATGATATCTCATAAACATTGTGAGGATGAACTGTGAATGAGATCATTGTAGGGTTATTCTAATGTGTTAATTGAAAGAGTATCATCCATCAATAGGCATCACATTTAGGAGCAAAAAATATAATATTAAAGGACTGCCACCAAAACAAGGACTACATTCCTTCAGCAGCAATGTGGTGCACATTGATTTTTGACTGGTAATGTTCAAATGCTTGTATATGTATGGCTGGCATTGTCCAGTCACTCTGTGGCTGGACCTGCAACTAATGAGCAATTTTACTCTGTACACAACTATGAAATGGCCGAAAATAAACTGCTGCTCATAAGCCCCAAACTTATATGACTTCGTGAGTGGTTTTAAGGGGACTTGTAAATGGAGGGATAAATTCTGGGGACCGGGGGGACCTACAACTGTGTAACAGGAATAAAAAAAGTTCTTCAAGACAAGCTATAGCATTGGCTCAGTCTCTGACACCCAAAGCTGGAGACTGAGCCAATGCTATGGCAGTGCTGATCAAGATATGTTTTGTGTTAACTGGTTTTCAATTAAACTTCAAAGCGTCATAATTAATTGAATTCATTTCACTACATGTGGAGGGGGGCCTTTAGTCAGTGGGGGTTGTTATCAGATGTATTTTTTATTTACAGGTCAATGGACCTACAACTGGGGGCAAGGCTTATGAGCGGCAGTTTGTCCAATTATTTTAAAACAGCCCTAAAAAAAAACAAACAAACAAAAAAAAATTCACATTTTAACTGAACTCTAAAGATCGGCGCGGCGCTCATTAAATTTAATGACATTACCTATTTGTAAATAACAGATAATTATTAAAGAAACCACTGTTGATAACACATTACTTTGCCACGTGATTTTTCTTTTGCTTTGTTTTATTTAAAACGATAATTATAAAGGTCTATGCCCCTTTCGAGATGAGTTTTTGAAATTAATACTTTAGTTCCTAAGTGGAGTACTCGTTCTTATTATCATGCGGATTAGAAGGCGGCAATATTGGAGTAAATACATGTACTGTTGGAGACCTTTCTTTCTTAAAACAGTAGGAGAAGATGTATGCTGCGCGCGTTGATGACTGAGTAGTCTAAAATTGGTTTCTTAGTAAATGAGACGAGTTATTTGAGAGGAAAATATAGTAGTTTTGTGAAAAACGTTGTCGGATAGTTAGCAACGAAATAGAAACTGACAGTTGTTATACTCTGACAAATGCGCCAGATGCAGAGCCAAAGGATATGAAGAAAAAAATTAGAAGTGCTAGTTTGTGTGACTTAAGTTCGCTAAGAATTTCCTTTTATAAAGATAATAATGATAAATTATTCAGAACACATAAATTAAACGTCGCAAAAAGTTGTGACGCGAAATTACCTTAGTGCATCGAGAGCTTGTATACTTTCACGTTCAAGTGTAGATATGGAATTTGTTGCATCAAAGTTGCCATTTCTGTTTCTTTGCTTTATGACCGTTTCTAGAGGAGAGGAAGGTAAGTTAGTTAAAATCCTGTATGCGTGGAAAGGTGTAAAAATAAAATAATGTGACTGCTTAAACAATAAAGTTTAAGGCCATTCCGGCATAGTTAACATCAAACGTATACCGCGGATCCTAGACTGCGAGCCGTCGCTTATTTTTCTTTGCAAAGTTACTGCACACGAAACCTAGGCACGCGAGCCGCGAGAAACGAGGGTGTAAGCCCGATAGGAAAAAATAACGTCTCGTCTCAATCCCTTATTGTGATAATAACTTCGTGGTTTGCAATCGCGCTGGAAGAGATAAGAACTAGACGGATTTGAAGAGGAAAGGTGGACTGACTGCAAGCAGTCTACCCGGATCCAGAAAGAATCTGAAAATTAATATTTTTAAGAGTAATATAAATTAATCAGTCCTCTTAATTTTCGTTATTAAAACGATTGCTTGTTTTGTTTACCAAGAGACGGTTGCTGTTTCTTTTACTAACTTATTGAATTCCTTATAAAGAAGAAAGACTAGGATGTTTTACCCGGTTCTAAGCCTTTTTTAAGTTCGGGCCTAACACTAACGAAATAAATTGGGGCTTATATAAAAAAGCGCTGGAAATTTGCTTTAGTTACATAAACAACACTTTGTTGCTTAACAACTATGTAACGTGAGTCTCGTCAACTCATTCCATAGCATTCTAGTTTTCCTAGAGTGTGAGTGATATCCTTTCTCGATAGAATGACGTCGCATTAATTTATTCCTTCTCAATTTGTGAACAAGAAAAGAAAAAGGATTGTGCATCGTTGTTTTTATCTTTGATGTTTGCCGCCTTTCATTACCAGTCTCCTCTACTAGCTTAAGGTCCAATCCAGGACCTGAACACAGTACAGTAAAAACCCACGAGTAAGAACCTACATTTTCCAGGGTTAGCCTAAACAAGTTCTTTCATAAATGGTGGTTAACATAAATTTAGGCTATCTAGGTTCTTAATAGGTTCTTAATTTCTTGCAAAAAATTATGTCGTTGCTAAGAAGATTTTAGTGATCAGCACCCTTAAATTTGCACACTTAATGATTGCTTATATTTTAATATGACCATAATAGACATCTATTCTCACATGAATTTTAATTTGTTGAGTCAAAACAACTTTGTATAGATGATTGTGCTGTAAAACACATTTTCTCAATGACCTCAATCAAACAACATTTATATAAGAACCTTTCTCCAAATTTTAGGCTAAAGAGGTTCTCATATGGAGGGGTGCAAATTTTAGCCTAAAAGGTTCTTAAATCTTAGGTTGTTACTCGTGGGTTTTTACTGTATATGATGCTAAGTATGGAAGTGTCGTGTGCAATCAACAGGAATTGACTGTCCCCGTGTAGTGAAGTTCAGTGATTTCATGGAGGACCGCATTCTTGTGGGTCACGTGTTTACAAGAATTGAAATCAAATCGCCCGATGTTTGTGAGGTCAACTGTTTTCTAGCAGTAGACTGCGTGTCTTTCAATATTGGACCACTACAAGATGGAAAGTATTGGTGTGAACTCAGTAACTCTGATCACATAGCACATCCTCAGGATCTCGTGAATGGAGTCGGTACCATTTATCAGCCATTCCTGGTAAGAATAAGAAATATTTTATGACCAAATATTGCATGGTCGTAGCTTCTAAAATAATCATGTAAAAATATAACCTGGGAAGGAAGACAGCCTACATTTCGCGACACCACCACCACCACCACCATTGGTTTAACTGCGAAATAACGTTTGACGTCACCTTGGTTGGAGAACCCACTGCCCTTGGCTCAGTCCGTAGCCTGTTCCAAGCTCTCAGATAGTGGGGAAGGCGCGAAAGTGTAGGGCGCGCGAAAATAGGGGCGGGCGGGATAAAAAGGAAAAGGAAGGGAGAAAGAGAGTTACTGGATTTGTTCAATTTAAAGCAACATGTGTGTGTACCCACCCATAAACGAGGTCATATATTGGACTTGGTCATTACAAGGAATGAGACTGAGGGTGCCTTAGGCCTAAAGAATGTTACAGTCATGGAACAGTTTATCTCGGATCATAAGGCTGTTTGCTTTAATTTGAATTTACGGAAACCATTAAATGAAAGGAGGACTGTTGTCTCTCGTAAATTAAAGGGATTTGATTTTGATGCTTTCAATGAGATGATTGGATCGTCTGGTTTGTCAGACAGGTGTATCTTGCAAAGTGTTGAGTCATTGGCGAAGGAGTATGATGAGGTGTTATGCAAGGCTTTGGACAAGTTGGCACCTAAAAGAACTCGCACTATTGTCATTCGACCTAATGCTCCTTGGTATAATGAGGAGATCGCTACTCAGAAGAGGAAAAGGCGAAGGCTTGAACGTAAATGGCGTTCGACTGGTCTTGAAACTGACAGGGTAAATTATATGGAACAGTGCAATGTTGTGAATGATATGCTCTACAAGGCGAAAGAACAGCATTATTCAGCAGTTATTCAGGAAAATGCCCACGATAGTAAATTACTTTTTCGCACAGTTGATAAATTACTGCAAAGGAGTATAGACAAAAGATATCCGTCTGCGAACAGTGACCAAGAACTCGCAGATGCCTTTGCTGATTTCTTTAGTGCCAAGATTGTGCGAATTCGTGATGAGTTGCTGGTTAGAAAAGTGCAGCTGGGGGAGCGCACCATGGAGGATTCTGAGTGTACGTCATGCTTTAGCGAGTTCACAATGGTAACAGATGAAGACGTCTTAGGGTTGATTAGGGGTTCAACTATTAAGGCATGCGCACTGGATCCACTTCCAGCGAGTATCATGCGGAAATGCTATTCTAGTCTTGTCCCTATATTTAGAAGGGTCATTAATTTGTCATTGTCATCTGGATTGCTGCCCAAGGAACTTAAGGTGGCGCTGCTATCACCTATTCTTAAGAAATTAAATGCAGACTTTGAGCAGTTTAGTAATTTTCGCCCTGTATCAAATTTAAAGTTCCTGTCTAAATTGATAGAGAAAGCAGTGTTTGTGCAATTGAATAGCTATCTTGGCGAAAATGATCTACACGAGCCTCTTCAATCAGCGTACAAGATTTTTCACAGCACCGAGACTGCACTTCTCACAGTTACAAATGACATTATGCTGTCATTGGATAAGGGTGAGAATGTTTTCCTTGTCTTATTGGATCTGTCGGCAGCATTTGATACCGTTAACCATTCCTTGCTGCTGGCACGACTGCAGAAATCATTTGGTATCAGAGGAACTGTACTGCAATGGTTCGATTCTTATCTTTCTCAAAGAACTCAGTTTGTAAACATCAATGAGGCGAATTCTACGGTACGAGATCTTCCCGTGGGTGTTCCCCAAGGTTCAGTTCTTGGACCTGTTCTCTACCTTCTGTATACTGCGCCACTTGCTAAAGTGATAAGATCTTATGGCTTAGATTATCATCTCTTCGCCGACGATACTCAGTTATACTTTGCATTCAAATCGGTGGATGTGGACGCTGCTAAATCGAGGGTCGAGAACTGCGTTTCTGCAATATGTCGCTGGATGGATCTCAACGAATTGAAGCTAAACCACGACAAGACGGAGGTCATGCTTATCCACTCAAAGCATCGTCCCTCTCCATCCTTTCAGTCCTTATGTGTTGGTGACGAGAGCGTGGCTGCCTCTCAGTCGGCTAGGAGTCTTGGTGTTATCTTTGATGAGCACATGTCTTTTCATGCACATGTGTCTAGCATCTGTAGATCATCATTTTATCATCTCAGGAACCTATCTAGAATTAGGAAGTATTTCACTAAAGAATCAGCAGAAGTTGCTGTTCATGCATTTGTCACATCGAAACTAGATTACTGTAATCCATTATTATACGGCCTACCTAAGTATCAGTTACAAAGATTGCAGTATGTACAAAACACGGCGGCTAGAGTTGTGTTGCAAGTGAGTAAGTTTCAGCATATCACACCTGTTTTGTGTGCGCTTCACTGGCTACCGATTCAATATCGTATTATTTTCAAGATTCTGCTCGTCGTGTATAAATCACTGAATGGGACATCGCCTAGCTATTTAGCTCAAAAACTACATTATCGTCCTCATTCTAGATCATTGAGGTCTGTTAGTAATGAACTTTTAATGCAACCTAGATCGTATACCAAGACCTACGGAGATAGAGCATTCGCTGTTCATGCACCAAGAGAATGGAACTTAATACCCTATGAAATTCGGAAGTCCAACACCATCTCGAGTTTTAAAAGATCACTTAAGACGTACTTGTTTACTAAATTCTGTGATAACGGATCATTGTTTTTATAAATTTGTATATATTGCGTTAGTTTTAATTTTTTCCCTTTTTTTTATCATTATGAATATGGTTTAATAGTTGTTTTAGTTTCAATTTTTCCTTTTTTATCCATTGTAAATATATTAGGATATGGTCGTAAATTTGTAAATATTTTTCAATAATGTTGTTTACATGATTGTAAAGCGCCTTGAACATAGGATAAGAGCGCTATAGAAATAAAGTTATTATTATTATTATTATTATTATTATTATTAAGATGATTACAGGCTCCGCCGCCTCCCCCCGGCTCTCCCCAGTTTCCTCCCGTTTTTTTTTTTTTTTTTTTTTGTGTTCGCGTTTTCTCAATTCCGCTAGCCTGAGATCATGCCCTCTCCCTATTAATTATCCCTTTATGTCTCTCACGGGAAGAGGGCATGATACATTTCTCTGTTGGATCACATGTAAAAATGCCAGAATCTGGACTTTTTTCTGATTGGATAGGAAACAATGCGGATGATTTGCGCTGTTCCGATTGGCCAAAATGACGCCATCCGTTAGTTGTTGTTGATTTCAGTCTGCATTTTTGCTTGCGTAATAAGCAGTGAATACACACGCGAGTTCGTTATGAAATTTCTGCCCGCTCACTTTTCTTGAATTTGAATAATGCCTAAATAGAAGTTTCATCCATTGAAATATTTACCATCTCATCGTATACCAAAACAGTTGCAGTCAAAACTTCACCGATCATTTGAATGCAATTTGATACCGGCTACAAGTTACAGAAGCGACAAACGGGTTCACTTTTCAAATAATCAATTCATGAATGGAATCTTGACCTGGTTTGACTGTATTTCCTCCTTCAGAAATCATGCTGCGAATTATTCTGAGCGATCTTCGCTTTCACAACACCTTTCAGTTCGTGAAATATGGTGCTTCAGCCTAATTTTTTTTCCACTGCTTTCGGTACAGAACGAAGTCAACGAGCTTTAACCAGTAAATTCTTTATTATTTGTAGCTATTCATAAAGGTACGACAGCTCCAGCTAGCAGTATATTTCATCACAAAAACAACACATTAATTTTTTTTTTTACGAAGCGCCATCTGAACACGGACGTACTTAAAAAATTTTTTTCCCTAAAACTGATTTCAAAAGAGACATTATTCGCGCCAAAATTTGATTCCCGTTTGGTAAACGCTTATTGGCTAAAAACATGACAGGTCAAGCAAACGTTAGATTATGTAAATTAGGGGGCGGTTGACTGCTTGTTAAATAAATGTATCAGGCGTTATTTTTTTTCCCTCTCGAGCCAAAGAAGCAAAAAAAAAAAAAAAAAAAAAAAAAGACGCCTGATCTCAGGTTACAATTCCGCGGGCCCGACTATCTCGGAGCCTGGAACAGGCTACTCAGTCCGGGGCAAAAGAAACCAAGTTTTTTGGAGCGGTAGTTATTTTTATGTGATAATTAATTGTCTGCTGCTTCTGAATTGCCCCATAGGTTGCTGCAAGGTTGCTGTTAAAACGATGAACAATAATTTATATTTTTTTCTATAGAACCACTGTGCAAGCAATCCCTGTCCTTTGAATGGCCGTTGTCAAACGGGCTTCACTGATAAAGGTTACCGCTGTGTGTGTCCCGTGGGATTCACTGGTCAAAACTGCAGCAAAGGTATTTTCTACAGTATACTTTTATTATGAAACTGATTTAGATAGTTTCGTTAGAGCGGCTCTATCTTCAAATTCTTTTAATTGCACATACAAGATTCACATACAACCCGAGTAATGTCGTCGCTTAGTCCATTTAAGCCATTCTACAAGCTTAGGGAGCTAATTCAGATAGAAGTTCTGTGCCCCATTTGACCCTTGACATCAAATTCTGGAGATTAAGAGAGAGGTAACAGTAGTAGATAAAATTTGGCCACCGAAATGCCTGGCCGGGAATCTTCCTTTTAAATTTTCGGCTATTTTTCATGAGGAAAAGGGATGTATAGCTTAACTTATCAGGGGTTACCCGTGGCGTTAATTGTAAAAAGATAAAGAAATAAAATAAATAAATAAATAAATTGTAAAATAAAAGGTTACCAAAAAAAATGTTAATAGAGTTCATCGCGTTCGTTATCACAACGTATACCATAACGCTCTAGTATCCCAGTTTAAATCTTCTTGCCTTGTCTTATCTTGTTATCGAAGAAGTTTTGCCGTTCCGTTTACTGTAAAGTACCTCTTCATCTTCTCTTATTTCAGTATTTCAGGTTATTATGAGACATCGGGCAATTCAAAAAATATTCACTATTATTTTGCTTTTTTTTCTTGTGCAGTGACTCTATTCGTCAACACTTCTCCAAAAATAATTTCTACCCAAAAAGAACAACAAGTGACTTTCACGTGCAATGCATTTGGCTCACCGCGCCCTATCATTACATGGAGGAGGTCTCATGGAACTCTGTCTGCTTCAAGAACTCTTACCACGGACGGAAATCTGTCTATAATGAATGTGACGATAGGTGACAGTGGCTTCTATGTATGCAATGCTACGAGTGCTGAACAAAAAAATTCTTCATCTGTAGAGCTTAAAGTGTTTTATAGTCTTGCCCACGTAGTCAGCCCAGAGTTATCAGTTACCCTGTACGTTGGTCAAGCTTTGAAATTGTCGTGTCCTACTTCAAGTGGAACAGAGTTGTGGCTGTACAATGGAAGTGTGTCAGTGCGTCAAGATGTATACCTCGAGACACCAGGCATATTACTTATTCCTTCCCTTAGGAAAGATCACGTGGGTAACTACTCTTGTCTATCAGGAGAGTCCCTTCGGTGGAATGTAAGTCTTCATGTTAAAATTCCAGAAACATGCAGCATAGTCAAGCAGAGCATTTGTGATGCCAGCGGTGATTACGTCATAGATCCTGATGGTGAACGAGGCGAAGATCCGTTTACCGTTTACTGTAACATGACCGACAAGGGAGGGGTTGGGGTAACCGTTGTCAGTCATGACAGCGAGAGCAGAATCCTTGTAAAAGGAATCGAGGCCCCGGGTGGTTACAGACGAGACATTCATTACATCGGTGCCAGTCTCTCTGAGATCAAAGGACTCACAGAAGTTGCCGCAAATTGTCAGCAATTCATCAGATATGAGTGTTATGGTTCCATATTGCTTGACCATAATAGAAATAATAGATATGGTTGGTGGGTGTCACGTGATGGCGCAGATATGACGTATTGGGGTGGCGCTACTCGTGGATGTGCATGCGGAACGACTAGGTCGTGCGACGACACATCCAAGTGGTGCAATTGTGATAAGAATGATCATGTCTGGCGCGAGGACAGCGGTCTTCTGACAAATAAGTCGCATCTTCCGGTCTCTCAGCTAAGGTTTGGAGACACTGGTCAGTCTACAGAAAAAGGATATCACACTTTAGGAAAACTAGAATGCTATGGAATGAGTTGACGATGAATATAGTATCAATGCATGGTTGAGGAAACTAGTATGCACTGGATAAAACTTGAGAATTGAACAGTGTGTGTAAAAACAAAAAGCAGAAAAAGGATCTGAAGCAAACCGACAAGAATCCAGGTCTGCAAGAAATCTTACCTCGCGAATCTACTCCGGAATCAACGTGCAAGGCAGATTATATCGAAATGTTTAGAAGACGGAAGTCGGACAAACGAAAAAGACATTTACCGATTCGGTTAGGCCTAGACTGATTCAGGGGACAATGAATCATCTTTGAAATGTATTTAAACGTTTGCCAGATCTTGAGCTGATGACTTCACGTTTGCAGAAGCTGAAAATTATAAGCCGTTGTAGTTTTAAGAGGACTTATAAATGGAGGGGCATATTCAGGGGGAACTACAGCTGTATAACAGGAATAGAAAAAGTTCTTTGACACAAGCTATAGCATAGGCTCAAGTCTCTGACACCCAAGGCTGGAGACTGAGCCAATGCTATGGCAGTGCTGATCAAGATATGTTTTGTGTTTACTGGTGTTAACTGGTTTTCAATTAAACTTCAAAATGGCATTATTAAGCGAATTCATTTTATTAAATGTGTAGTGAGGCCTTTAGTCAGAGGGGGTTATAATCAGATGTATTTTTTATTTACAGGTCGATGGACCTACAACTGGGGGCAAGGCTTATGAGCGGCAGTTTGTCCAATTATTTTAAAACAGCCCTATGAAGAAAGAAAAATAATAAACATTCCAAATCTACTCTAAAGATCGCCGCGGCGCTCATTAAATTTAATGAAATGGAACATTAAAACTTCCTATTTGCAAATAACAGATAATTATTAAAGAAACCATTGTTGATAACACATTGCTTTGCCACAAAATTTTTCCTTTCCTTTGTTTTATTTAAAACGATAATTTTAAAGGTCTATGCCCCTTTCCAGATGAGTTTTTGAAATTAATACTTTAGTTTTCTAAGTGGAGTACTCGTTCTTATTATGATTAGAAGGCGGCAATATTGGAGTAAATATATGTACAGTTGGAGACCTTTCTTTCTTAAAACAGTAGGAGAAGATGTACGCTGCGCACGGTAATAACTGAGTAGTCTAAAGAGTTATTTGAGAGGAAAATATAGTAGTTTCGTGAAAAACGTTGTTGGATGATCAGCAAAGAAATAAAAACTGACAGTTGTTATACTCTGACAAATGCGCCAGATGCAAAGAGCCAAAGGTAATGAAGAAAAAAATTAGAAGTGCTAGTTTGTGTGACTTCAGTTCTCTAAGAATTTCCTTTTATAAGGATAATAACGATAAATTATTCAGAACACTTAAATTAAACGTCGCAAAAAGTTGTGACGCGAAATTACCTTAGTCTATGGAAAGCTTGTATACTCTCACGTTGAAGTTTAGATATGGAATTTGTTGCATCAAAGTTGCCATTTCTGTTTCTTTTCCTTATGGCCGTTTGTAGAGGAGAGGAAGGTAAGTTAGTTAAAATCCTGTATGCGTGGAAAGGTGTGAAAATAAATGTGACTGCTTAAACAATAACGTTTCAGGCCATTCCGACATAGTTAACATCAAACGTATAGCCCGGATCCTAGACTGCGAGCAGTTTCTTAGTTTTCTTTGCAAAGTTACGGCACACGAAACCTAGCACGCGAGCCGCGAGAAACGAGGGCGTAAGCTCGAGAAGAAAAAATAACGTCTCGTCTCAATCCCTTATTGTAATAATAACGTCGTGGTTTGCAATCGCGCTGGATGAGATAAAAACTAGACGGATTTGAAGAGAAAAGGCGGACTGCAAGCAGTCTTATAACCCGGATCCAGAACGAATCTGAAAATTAATCTTTTTAAGAGTAAATTAATCAGTCCTGTAAATTTTCGTTATTAAAACGATTGCTTCTTATGTTTACAAAGAGACTATTGCTGTTTCTATTACTAACTTATTGACTTCGTTATAAAGAGGAAAGATGTTTTACCGGTTTCTAAGTCTTTTGTAAGTTCAGGCCTAACAATAACGAAATAAATTGGGGCTCATATAAAAAAGCGCTGGAAATTTGCTTTTGTTACATAAACAACACATTGTTGCTTAACAACTATGTAACGTGCGCCTCGTCAACTCATTCCATAACATTCTAGTTTTCCTAGAGTGTGATATATATCCTTTCTGAATAGAATGACGTCGCATTAATAGACCTTGTCACGGTTTTCGACGCCATCTTGACGAGTAGGCAAACGTGTGAGAAATTACAGTGTTTGTATGAGAATCTAATGTCGAATAATTTCCGTAAAACGTCTTTTCTGAAAAAATATCAATTGTAAACTAAAGCTTCATTGTTAAGGATTCTACTGAAAAAAATTGAGGGCGTTAAAGCGCTAGAAGACCTAGAACCACTTTTTAAAATTTTCCATACATTTGTCTGTAGGAAAGTCGCTGGAAAAATTACAGACAAATATATGGAAAATCTAAAGCAAGCCTCTGGAGACATTTAAGCACAGGTACGCCCCAATAGTTTGTAGTACAATCCTTTGCTTTGTAGCTTTAGTTTACAATTGATATTTTTTTCAGAACAGCCGTTTTACGGAAATTATTCGACATTAGATTCTCATACAAACACTGTAATTTCTCACACGTTTGCCTACTCGTCAAGATGGCGTCGAAAACCGTGACAAGGTCTATTTATTCCTTCACAGTTTGTGAACAAGAAAAGAAAAAGGATTGGGCACCGTTGTTTTTATCTCTGATGTTTGCCGCTTTTCATTACCAGTCTCCTCTACTAGCTTAAGGTCCCAATCCAGGATCTGAATACAATATATGATGCTAAGTATGGAAGTGTCCTATGCAATCAACAGGAACTGACTGTCCCCGTGAAGTGAAGTTCACCGATTTCATGGAGGGCCGCATTCTTTTGGGTCACGTGTTTAAAAGAATTGAAATCAAATCGCCTGATGTTTGTGAGGTCAACTGTTTTCTAGCAGCAGACTGCGTGTCATTCAATATTGGACCACTACAAGATGGAAAGTATTGGTGTGAACTGAGTAACTCTGATCACATAGCACATCCTCAGGATCTCGTGAATGGAGTCGGTACCATTTATCAGCCATTCCTGGTAAGAATAAGGAATATTTCATGACCAAATATTGCATGGTCGTAGCTCCTAAAATAATCATGTAAAAATATAACCTGCGAAGGAAGACAGCTTACATTTCGCGACACCACCACCACCACCACCACCACTGGTTTAACTGCGAAATAACGTTTGACGTCACCTTGGTTGGAGAACCCACTGCCCTTGGCTCAGTCCGTAGCCTGTTCCAAGCTCTCAGATAGTGGGGAAGGCGCGAAAGTGTAGGACGCGCGAAAATGGGGGCGGGGCGGGAAAAAAAAGGAAAAGGAAGGGAGAGAGATGATTACAGGCTCCGCCGCCTCCCCCGGCTCTCCCCAGTTTCCTCCCGTTTTTTTCGTGTTCGCGCTTTCTCAATTCCGTGGGCCCGACCATCTCGGAGCCTGGAACAGGCTACTCAGTCCGGGGCTAAAGCAACCAAGTTTTTTGGAGCGGTAGTTATTTTTATATGATAATTAATTGTCTGCTGCTTCTGAATTGCCCCAATAGGTTGCTGTTAAAACGATGAACAATAATTTATATTTTTTGCTACAGAACCACTGTGCAAGCAATCCCTGTCCTTTGAATGGCCGTTGTCAAACGGGCTTCACTGATAAAGGTTACCGCTGTGTGTGTCCCGTGGGATTCACTGGCCAAAACTGCAGCAAAGGTATTTTCTACAGTATACTTCCGCATATGAAAAGGGTGGGGATGCTTGTCGGAAATTTTGAATTAACCCCCTAAAGGAGACCGATCTGGGCGTGGCCCAAGCTTTTTTGACCCCTAAAAGAGACCATGTTAAAACACAGACACTATCTATATTTTTATATTTTTTCGCGTGCAACCCTAAACGAGACCTTCACGGCTAAATATGATGGCGTTTTGCCCAGAACACCCTAAGTGAGGCCAAAATCCGAAATTTACAGCTCTAAGCGAGACGACGAATATCCCCACCCTTTCATATGCGGAGTCCGCCCCCCCGGACTTTTAATATGAAACTGATTTAGATAGTTTCGTTAGAACGGCTCTATCTTTAAATGCTGTTAATTGCACATACAAGATTCACATACAACCCGAGTAATGTCGTCGCTTAGTCCATTTAAGCAATTCTACAAGCTTACGGCCTTAATTCAGAAAGAAGTTCTGTGCGCCATTTGTCCCTTGACATCAAATTCTGGAGATTAAGAGAGAGGTAACAGTATTAGGTAAAATTTGGCCACCGAAATGCCTGGCCGGGAATCTTCCTTTTTAATTTTCGGCTATTTCTCATGAGGAAAAGGGATAAGACGCTTAACATATCAGGGGTTACCCGCGGCGTTAATTGTAAAAAGATAAAAAAGTAAAATAAATAAATAAATTGAAAATAAAAGGTTAGCAAAATAAAATAAAATGCTATCATATACTATAAGGCTCTAGTACCCCAGTTTAATCTTCTTGTCTTGTCTTATCTTGTTATGGATGAAGTTTGCCGTTCCGTTTTCTTTAAAGAACCCCCTTATCATCTCTTATTTCAGGTTATTATGAGACGTCGGGCAATTCAAAAAATATTCACTATTATTTTGCCTTTTTTTCTTGTGCAGTGACTCTATTCGTCTACACTTCTCCAAAAATAATTTCCACCCAAAAAGAACAACAAGTGACTTTCACGTGCAATGCACTTGGCTCACCGCGCCCTATCATTACATGGAGGAGGTCTCATGGAACTCTGTCTGCTTCAAGAACTCTTACCACGTACGGAAATCTGTCTATAATGAATGTGACGATAGGTGACAGTGGTTTCTATGTATGCAATGCTACGAGTGCTGAACAAAAAAATTCTTCATCTGTAGAGCTTAAAGTGTTTTATAGTCTTGCCCACGTAGTCAGCCCAGAGTTATCAGTTACCCTGTACGTTGGTCAAGCTGTGAAATTGTCGTGTCCTACTTCAAGTGGAACAGAGTTGTGGCTGTACAATGGAAGTGTGTCAGTGCGTCAAGATGTATACCTCGAGACACCAGGCATATTACTTATTCCTTCCCTTAGGAAAGATCACGTGGGTAACTACTCTTGTCTATTAGGAGATTCCCCTCGGTGGAATGTAAGTCTTCATGTTAAAATTCCAGAAACATGCAGCATAGTCAAGCAGAGCATTTGTGATGCCAGCGGTGATTACGTCATAGATCCTGATGGTGAACTAGGCGAAGATCCGTTTACCGTTTACTGTAACATGACCGACAAGGGAGGGGTCGGGGTAACCGTTGTCAGTCATGACAGCGAGAGCAGAATCCTTGTAAAAGGAATCGAGGCCCCGGGTGGTTACAGACGAGACATTCATTACATCGGTGCCAGTCTCTCTCAGATCAAAGGACTCACAGAAGTTGCCGCAAATTGTCAGCAATTCATCAGATATGAGTGTTATGGTTCCATATTGCGTGTCCATAATAGAAATAATAGATATGGTTGGTGGGTGTCAAGTGATGGCGCAGATATGACGTATTGGGGTGGCGCTACTGTGGGGTGTGCATGCGGAATGACTAATTCCTGCGACAAGAGTGCTAAGCTGTGCAATTGTGATAAGAATGATCATGTTTGGCGCGAGGACAGCGGTCTTCTGACAAATAAGTTGCATCTTCCGGTCTCTCAGCTAAGGTTTGGAGACACTGGTCAGTCTGCTGAAAAAGGATATCACACTTTAGGAAAACTAGAATGCTATGGAATGAGTTGACGATGAATATATATAGTATCAGTGGTTGAGAAAACTAGTATGCACTGGATAAAACTTGAGAATTGAACAGTGTGTGTAAAAACAAAAAGCAGAAAAAGGATCTGAAGCAAACCGACAAGAATCCAGGTCTGCAAGAAATCTTACCTTGCGAATCTACTCCGGAATCTACGTGCAAGGCAGATTATATCGAAATGTTTAGAAGACGGAAGTCGGACAAACGAAAAAGACATTAACCGATTCGGTTATGCCTAGACTGATTCAGGGGACAATGAATCATCTTTGAAATGTATTTGAACGTTTGCCAGATCTTGAGCTGATGACTTCACGTTTGCAGAAGCTGAAAATTATAAGCCGTTGTAGTTTTAAGAGGACTTATAAATGGAGGGGCATATTCGGGGGGACCTACAGCTGTATAACAGGAATAGAAAAAGTTCTTTGACACAAGCTATAGCATAGGCTCAAGTCTCTGACACCCAAGGCTGGAGACTGAGCCAATGCTATAGCAGTGCTGATCAAGATATGTTTTGTGTTAACTGGTGTTAACTGGTTTTCAATTAAACTTCAAAACGTCATTATTAAGCGAATTCACTTTATTAAATGTGGAGGGAAGCCTTTAGTCAGAGGGGGTTATAATCAGATGTATTTTTATTTACAGGTCGATGGACCTACAACTGGGGGCAAGGCTTATGAGCAGCAGTTTGTCCAATTATTTTAAAACAGCCCTATGAAAAAAGAAAAATAATAAACATTCCAAATGTACTCTAAAGATCGCCGCGGCGCTCATTAAATTTAATGAAATGGAACATTAAAACTTCCTATTTGCAAATAACAGATAATTATTAAAGAAACCATTGTTGATAACACTTTACTTTGCCACGAAATTTTTCCTTTCCTTTTGTTTTATTTAAAACTATAATTTTAAAGGTCTATGCCCCTTTCCAGATGAGTTTTTGATATTAATACTTTAGTTTTCTAAGTGGAGTACCCGTTCTTATTATTATTAGAAGGCGGCAATATTGGAGTAAATATATGTACTGTTGGAGACCTTTCTTTCTTAAAACAGTAGGAGAAGATGTACGCTGCGTGCGGTGATAACTGAGTAGTCTAAAGAGTTATTTGAGAGGAAAATATAGTAGTTTCGTGAAAAACGTTGTTGGATGGTCAGCAACGAAATAAAAACTGACAGTTGTTATACTCTGACAAATGCGCCAGATGCAAAGAGCCAAAGGTAATGAAGAAAAAAATTAGAAGTGCTAGTTTGTGTGACTTCAGTTCTCTAAGAATTTCCTTTTATAAGGATAATAACGATAAATTATTCAGAACACTTAAATTAAACGTCGCAAAAAGTTGTGACGCGAAATTACCTTAGTCTATGGAGAGCTTGTATACTCTCACGTTGAAGTGTAGATATGGAATTTGTTGCATCAAAGTTGCCATTTCTGTTTCTTTTCCTTATGGCCGTTTGTAGAGGAGAGGAAGGTAAGTTATTTAAAATCCTGTATGCGTGGAAAGGTGTGAAAATAAATGTGACTGCTTAAACAATAACGTTTCAGGCCATTCCGACATAGTTAACATCAAACGTATAGCCCGGATCCTAGACTGCGAGCAGTTTCTTAGTTTTCTTTGCAAAGTTACGGCACGCGAAACCTAGCACGCGAGCCGCGAGAAACGAGGGCGTAAGCTCGAGAAGAAAAAATAACGTCTCGTCTCAATCCCTTATTGTAATAATAACGTCGTGGTTTGCAATCGCGCTGGATGAGATAAAAACTAGACGGATTTGAAGAGAAAAGGCGGACTGCAAGCAGTCTTATAACCCTTATCCAGAACGAATCTGAAAATTAATCTTTTTAAGAGTAAATAATCAGTCCTGTAAATTTTCGTTATTAAAACGATTGCTTCTTATGTTTACAAAGAGACTATTGCTATTTCTGTTACTAACTTATTGACTTCGTTATAAAGAGGAAAGATGTTTTACCGGTTTCTAAGTCTTTTGTAAGTTCAGGCCTAACAATAACGAAATAAATTGGGACTCATATAAAAAAGCGCTCGAAATTTGCTTTTGTTACATAAACAACACATTGTTGCCTAACAACTATGTAACGTGCACCTCGTCAACTCATTCCATAACATTCTAGTTTTCCTAGAGTGTGATATATATCCTTTCTGAATAGAATGACGTCGCATTAATAGACCTTGTCACGGTTTTCGACGCCATCTTGACGAGTAGGCAAACGGTGTTTGTATGAGAATCTAATCTCGAATAATTTCCGTAAAACGGCTGTTCTGTAAAAAAAAAATTGTAAACTAAAGCTACAAAGCAAAGGATTGTACTAAAAAATTTTGGGGCCGTACCTGTGCTTAAATGTCTCCAGAGGCTTGCTTTAGATTTTCCATATATTTGTCTGTAATTTTTCCAGGGACTTTCCTACAGACAAATGTATGGAAAATTTTAAAAAGTGGTTCTAGGTCTTCTAGCGCTTTAACGCCCTCAATTTTTTTCAGTAGAATCCTTAAGAATGAAGCTTTAGTTTACAATTGATATTTTTTCAGAAAAGACGTTCTACGGAAATTATTCGACATTAGATTCTCATACAAACACTGTAATTTCTCACGCGTTTGCCTAGTCGTCAAGACGGCGTCGAAAACCGTGACAAGGTCTATTTATTCCTTCACAGTTTGTGAACAAGAAAAGAAAAAGGATTGGGCACCGTTGTTTTTATCTCTGATGTTTGCCGCTTTTCATTACCAGTCTCCTCTACTAGCTTAAGGTCCCAATCCAGGATCTGAATACAATATATGATGCTAAGTATGGAAGTGTCCTGTGCAATCAACAGGAATTGACTGTCCCCGTGAAGTGAAGTTCACCGATTTCATGGAGGGCCGCATTCTTTTGGGTCACGTGTTTAAAAGAATTGAAATCAAATCGCCCGATGTTTGTGAGGTCAACTGTTTTCTAGCAGCAGACTGCGTGTCATTCAATATTGGACCACTACAAGATGGAAAGTATTGGTGTGAACTGAGTAACTCTGATCACATAGCACATCCTCAGGATCTCGTGAATGGAGTCGGTACCATTTATCAGCCATTCCTGGTAAGAATAAGGAATATTTTATGACCAAATATTGCATGGTCGTAGCTCCTAAAATAATCATGTAAAAATATAACCTGGGAAGGAAGACAGCCTACATTTCGCGACACCACCACCACCACCACCACTGGTTTTAACAGCGAAATAACGTTTGACGTCACCTTGGTTGGAGAACCCACTGCCCTTGGCTCAGTCCGTAGCCTGTTCCAAGCTCTCAGATAGTGGGAAAGGCGCGAAAGTGTAAGGCGCGCGAAAATAGGGGCGGGCGGGATAAAAAGGAAAAGGAAGGGAGAGAGATGATTACAGGCTCCGCCGCCTCCCCCGGCTCTCCCCAGTTTACTCCCGTTTTGTTTTCGTGTTCGCGCTTTCTCAATTCCGCGGGCCCGACTATCTGGGAGCCTGGAGCAGGCTACTCAGTCCGGAACTAAAGCAACCAAGTTTTTTGGAGCGTTAGTTATTTTTATGTGATTATTAATTGTCTGAAACTTCTGAATTGCCCCAATAGGTTGCTGCAAGGTTGATGTTAAAACGATGAACAATAATTTATAATTTTTTCGATAGAACCACTGTGCAAGCAATCCCTGTCCTTTGAACAGCCGTTGTCAAACGGGCTTCACTGATAAAGGTTACCGCTGTGTGTGTGCCGTGGGATTCACTGGCCAAAACTGCAGCAAAGGTATTTTCTACAGTATACTTTTAATATGGAACTGATATAGATAGTTTCGTTACGACGGCTTCATATTTAAATTATTTAAATTGCACATACAAGATTCACATACAACCCGAGTAATGTCTTCGCCTAGTCCTTTTAGGCCTTTCTACAAGCTTTGGGACTTAATTCAGAAAGAAGTTCTGTGCGCCATTTGACCTTTGACATCAAATTCTGGAGATTAAGAGAGAGGTAACAATAGTAGGTAAAATTTGGCCACCGAAATGCCTGGCCGGGAATCTTCCTTTTTAATTTTCGGCTATTTCTCATGAGGAAAAGGGATAAGACGTTTTATAGGTATAGCTTAACATATCAGGGGCTACCCGTGGCGTTAATTGTAAAACGATAAGGAAGTAAAATAAATAATTAAATAACTTGAAAATAAAAGGTTAGCAAAAAAAAAAGAAAAAAAAAAGTTTAAATCTTCTTTCTTGTCTTATCTTGTTATCGAAGAAGTTTTTGTCGTTCCGTCTTCTGTAAAGTATCTCTTCATCTTCTCTTATTTCAGGCTGTTATGAGACTTTGGGCAATTCAAAACATGTTCACTATTATTTTGCTTTTTTTATGTGCAGTGACTCTATTCGTCAACACTTCTCCAAAAATAATTTCTACGCAGAAAGAACAACAAGTGACTTTCACGTGCAATGCATTTGGCTCACCGCGCCCTCTCATTACATGGAGGAGGTCTCATGGAACTCTGTCTGCTTCAAGAACTCTTACCACGGACGGAAATCTGTCTATAATGAATGTGACGATAGGTGACAGTGGTTTCTATGTATGCAATGCTACGAGTGCTGAACAAAAAAATTCTTCATCTGTTGAGCTTAAAGTTTTTTATAGTCTTGCTCACGTAGTCAGCCCAGAGTTATCAGTTACCCTGTACGTTGGTCAAGCTTTGAAATTGTCATGTCCCACTTCAAGTGGAACAGAGTTGTGGCTGTACAATGGAAGTGTATCAGTGCCTCAAGATGCATACCTCGAGACACCAGGCATATTACTTATTCCTTCCCTTAGGAAAGACTACGTGGGTAACTACTCTTGTCTATCAGGAGATTCCCTTCAGTGGAATGTGAGTCTTCATGTTAAATTTCCAGAAACATGCAGCATAGTCAAGCAGAGCATTTGTGATGCCAGCGGTGATTACGTCATAGATCCTGATGGTGAACTAGGCGAAGATCCGTTTACCGTTTACTGTAACATGACCGACAAGGGAGGGGTTGGGGTGACCGTTGTCAGTCATGACAGCGAGAGCAGAATCCTTGTAAAAGGAATCGAGGTACGGGGTGGTTACAGACGAGACATTCATTACATCGGTGCCAGTCTCTCTCAGATCAAAGAACTCACAGAAGTTGCCGCAAATTGTCAGCAGTTCATCAGATATGAGTGTTATCATTCCATGTTGCTTATACATAATACAAATAATAGATATGGTTGGTGGGTGTCACGTGATGGCGCAGATATGACGTATTGGGGTGGCGCTACTCGTGGATGCGCATGCGGAATGACTAGGTCATGCGACGACACAGCCAAGCGGTGCAATTGTGATAAGAATGATCAAGTCTGGCGCGAGGACAGCGGTCTTCTGACAAATAAGTTGCATCTTCCGGTCTCTCAGCTAAGGTTTGGAGACACTGGTCATTCTTTTGAGGAAGGATATCACACTCTAGGAAAACTAGAATGCTATGGAATGAGTTGACGATGAAGATAGTATCAATGGTTGAGAAAACTAGTATGCGCTGGACAAAACTCAAAACTAGAGAATTGAACAGTGTGTAAAAACATAAAGGATCTAAAGTAAACCGACAAGAATCCAGGTCTGCAAGAAATCTAACCTTGCGAATCTACTACGGAATCAACGACTGCAACGAGCAAGGCATATTATATCGAAATGCTGAGAAGACGGAAGTCGGACAAACGAAAAATACATTTGCTGATTCGGTGAGGCCTAGCTATAGTCTGTTTCAAGGAACAATGATTCACCTTTGAAATGTATTTAAACGTTTGCCAGATTTTGAGCTAATGACTTCACGTTTGCAGAAGCTGAAAATTATAAGCCGTTGTAGTAACTTATTTCCATATAAACAACGTTGAAAACCTATAAAACAAGGATCGAGACCTACCTTGCCTATTTTTCTTATAATTCCAGTGATGAATTATTACATCGGATGACACCAGTCGTGAACAGGAAACTCAAAGCGGTCGAGTAAATCTCTCGGATGTTTAGCTGAAAATCTCTTCTTGTTACTAAATTTTCGCCAGCAATGGTCTGTCGCATCTTTCTTTACGGAAATTGTGAAACAGCGTTAGAAAAAATGACAGAACGCAACTGGCCGTACCAAGAACGGTGCCATGTGACGGTCTTCAAATCGGCTATATTTTTCAGCAAGGGTGGTGTCCTTGTCACCGATCGAGAAACAGAAAGAGTAACGAGAACGTGGGCTTGTCAACACCTCAACATTTGAAAAGAATTGTGTGTACAGTCGAACCCCCCGTAAGAGACCAGCCAAAAGGTGGAGATTTAGTGGTCGCTTTAGTGGTCGCTTATGAGATTCGAACAATAGGGGACTCTTCCCAGGAGATCAAGAGGTACTGGTACATCTTTTTCCTGACGGATATAAGTATGTGTTGTAGAGCAACTATAGGGCTTTGACTAGGTAATTTTGGAATGCCCCTTTTGGATAGGTGGTCGCCTGTGAGTTGTGGTCCCAAATGGAGGTTCCACTTTAGTGGTGAGGAGGGCTAGACTCTCAAACGGATTAACATCACTGACTCGCTTTCGCTGTCTGCGAATATCTCGACAGAACAGGCTATTAAGTGTGGCTACCTCACGCACTTAATCTAAATTTTATATAAAGATTACAGTCCAAAATTGACACTTCTCGTCGGCTGTAAAGAACAGTTTTGTTTATTGAGGTAGGATAAAAATGCTGAGGCAGGGCAAAACGCAAACAGTCAACAGAACAACTTTTCTTGCCCTGGATTTTATCAATTACGAGTATGGCCGAACTCATGCTGTACGTAGAAAAGCGTAGTAAGTACGTCAACAGACGATCTGAAGGAGAGATGATTATCCTCCGCTTGTCGCGTGATATCATATGGGTTGTCCTGTAGTGCGTGCCTTTGGTTGTGCGATAGAACAGTATCACGTGGATATGTTTTTTTTTAGGCTAAACGACGTTTTCTCTAAAAAGGAACACTCTTCTTACAATTTATCTTCATATACATTGCTTGCTGCACGTGGATTTGCTTCAATCATAATATAGTTTGACAAATTTTACAGGTTAGGGCAAGTGCTGTGTCTTTTTCGACCCCCCTCACATTCTGTGCAATTTTAAAATTGATCCCGCAAAATCAAGCCTCTTAGAAAATTGTACCCACCCCCCTCCGAACCCCCCTCCCCCCCCGGGACGTAATAAACGATCGGTCCATAAGAACTACCCAGAGGAAGACATAAAGAAAAAGAAAAAGTGAGGAAAAGTTATAGAGGCAGAGACCCTTATCTGTAAGAATCAAGAGCTGCTTATCACTCCAATAATATAAACACAAGAACCCTCTTTTGCAAAGACGATAACAATAAATCATTTATGACTCCATTGCAAACAAACCGGTTGGCATAGCAATGAGAAAATACCGACTGCAGGCCGGTTTTAAGTCGGTGTTTAACAAAACATCATCATCTCAAATCAGCTTTAATTTGACCAAACCAAAGGTGACAATATATTGTTTACTGTTTATAGCCTCGAAATCCACTGCACTGCGCTCTCATTTAGATATCGTTTGAAAATGACGAAATGAGTCACCATATTGGGAAATCACACTAAAATAATACACTCTTTTTTTACATAAGAATGTTGTTTTTTTTTTCCGGCCATGACTGAACATTCTTATTTTTCTGTCAATTTTTGGGGTGAAATATCCCTGAAATTATTATTCTTTATGATAAATTACAGCTTACGGCATTCCCGCTTTAGAATATATTGGGGCATTGGGGTTCTTGCCTTTTAATTTTTTACGGTTGAGTTGAAAACATAAATTTAGCGATTTTCAAACACAAAATTGAGTCCTTTTTAAATTCTCAGCCCAGCCTAGGGTTTAGTCTTAAAATATTCTTAGAATTTCACAAATTTCAGCCTCAATATTCTTATAAAATAAAACTCTTATAGAAAAAAAAAAGAGTGTATTAATGATGACGATGATAAAAATAAGAAAACACAGCTAAAGATCAAAGAAAAATAAAAAGAACTTGTCACTTATTTCCGCCAAATAAAGGGGAAAAACATATCCTCTAAAGGCAGCATTGCTAATTAATCGCTTGACGTTGCCAGGTTACTCTTATACCGAAACCTCACTTTGATTAATTAGCTCTAATACTGGTGAAATAACGGCTGAGATAAAGGATACATATAGATATGGGATTCGCGGTAGCAAAGTTGTTAGTTGTGATTTTTGCCTATAAATTCATGCTTTTTTGCAAAGGACAGGAAGGTACGTTTTGTTGAATGATGCACTTGTGGCTGAAAATTTGCTGGTTTTATTCTGTAGAATATTCCTCACTAGGTTGTTGTTGTGGTTTTATCTTTACTAAGGCTTTTGCTACAGTTTTCGTTGGCCGGACTGAAAACTGGCCAACAAAAACTTGCTTTTGGGGGCAGGGCGAGAATTAAATAGTTGAAAACTCAAAATCTTAAAACGTTTAATAAACAGAGTAGTTCTTTAAAAGATTTCATGTTTATTCAAATTTTGCGACTTCCTCTAAGAGATGATATGACTTAAAGCTTTGTTTCGAAAGAAGGGCGTTTCGACCGTCAAATGGTCATGGCCAATTTTTTTTTTTACAATATTATGGAAAGCTGCAAATTAAAATCAGTGCGCCCAATGTATATGTTTTACAGATAAAAACAGCGCAACACTGTGGTTGACAGCATCAACAACTACCAGACGTCGCATTGTTCAAAATTTTGAGATCCTAATAAAGACGATTGCGCTGCCTACAGTTGAACAAAGATCTTAGAGCCCGAAACGTAGCAGCAGTCAGAGCGCTCCGTTCTGGGCAAAGTTTTTTGACTAACTAAAGTATACGCGTTGTATTTTAGACATATTTTACATTTTTTTCAACCTTATTTTCTCTTCAATAATGCATGTACTAACTTATGTCTACGATCCACTCAAAGCCATATTTGTTTAACAATAAACATGTGTTTCGTCTTGAATCTACATAGTTATTTTAAGTGCCTTCTTCTGTCTTTGTTAAAATATCAATCATCGACTATCAACGTGATTCTAGCCCCCGTGTGGACGCCTTTTATTTTGTGAAATCCTCGGGGCCTCTCAAATTTGCGCCAAACTTCCTGAACGTGAAAAAACGTAGAATCGTGAATTAATCAAATTTTTAAAAGGGCGCGACTCACGGGCTGCGTAACACTAATACTACCACTATTACTAATATTAATTATAGTAATCATAACTATAACAAAATTCTCAAATCTGATTGGCTATCAACTGCCCTGATTTCAGCCTTAATAGGACAGTTTAATTGGACAGTACGCGCCATCACGCGCGCTTAAATGGCTTTTTTTTTCACTGCTAGAAAAACAAATCTTGGAATTTCTTGTGTTTTTATTTAAGAAAAGAGCCCTCTATATCACAAATTTTGTTAAAGTAATGATTAATTGGTAACAGAAATTCGTGTTGTCCAATTCGGTCTGTAATCATAACTATAACAAAATTCTTAAATCTGATTGGCTATCAACTGCCCTGATTTCAGCCTTAATAGTACAGTTTAATTGGACAGAACGCGTCATGCCTAAGAAATTGGACAATACGCGCCATCACGCCCGCGCTTAAATGGCTTTTTTTTCACTGCTACAAAAACAAATCTTGGAATTTCTTGTGTTTTTATTTAAAAAAGAGCCCTCTATAACACAAATTTTGTTAAAGTTATGATTAATTGGTAACAGAACTTCGTGTCGTCCAATTCGGTCTGTAATCATACTCGTGATTAAACAAATCGGACTCCCGCTACGCGGTCGTCCGATTTTGTTAATCACTCGTATGATTACAGACCGAATTGGACTCCACTCAGTCCTGTTACCATTACTACTAATAATAATATCAAATAATAATAGTAATAACAATAATAATAATAATGATAAAATAGTAAGTTACGTTTTGCCATGATTTTTATAAGAGACAAACTTCGTTACTCCTGTGCAGAACGTCTCGTTCTCGCATGATTATACCAGCAACAGCGTGTTTCAACGGTGACAGTAGGTGCACTCATATCATTATATTGCTTCTTCAATTTTAGTCTTATTCTCTTACAGGTGTTAATCAGCGTGATTAACAAGCATAAGTTGTTTGTTAGAAATTCCTAATGTTTGATTTAATGTGATATATGACTTTAACGTATCTTAAGTATGGTAGTTTTTTGTGCAATTAACAGAAAACTGTCCTCGAGTGCTGGAGTACAGTGGTTCAATGGAAGGCCGCACTCTTGTAGGTCACGTGTTCAAAGGAGTTGAACTCACGTCCCCAGATGTTTGCGAGATAAATTGTTTTTTGGAAGCCGACTGCGTGTCTTTTAATGTTGTACATCGGGAAGATGGAAAGTACTGGTGTGAACTAAGTAATTCTGATCACATAGCACACCCGGATGATCTTGTGTTTGGAGTCAACACTAAATATCAGCCATACCTGGTGAGAGTAGAGAACTATCTGCTTGGTGTAATTAAATGAGATTTTTAACAACCGGCAGGTGGGAAGGATATACAAATTAGCAGAAAACAGAAGCATATTTGATCATATAACCTCGAAGCGTCCAACTTCCTCTTACTTGTTGAAAACAAGCCGTCCAATCAGAAGCAAGGAAAATTTTATGCCCAAATATGGAATGAGAGGGTTATATGATTTTGCACTCAGAAAATCAAAATAAAGTGCGAATTTTAGAAACTAGATAAAGGGAGAATCGATTGCATTTATTAGCTTTAGCATACTTTCAAGGCGGAGGAGTTGGTTTTTTAATATCTTGAAACTGAGATGAACGGATCCGAAGCGCCTAAATATGTAGCCTGTGCCAGATAGTGGGGACGTCGGAAAAACAAGGTCAAGCAAAAATAAGATACGCGTTTGTGAACTGGGGAAGTGAGCGGATCCCCTTTTCCCAGTCCACGCGCTTTTTACAATCTCGGTACTATTATCTTAGACCCTGAAATAGACCTCTTTAACTTGTAGATTTTGTTTTCGCAATGCAAGTCGTTTGATGATACTCTAGAGAAAAGTTTATTTCAAATTTCGTCTTATTCACCTGCATACGTTTGCTTAATTTATGAAGAGACATAGGATCAAATTCCCTTGGGGCCTTATTCGGGAAAACAAAACGTACAAGCTAAAGAGGTCTATAGCTGAAGTATCATGCTGAAAACAGTTCAATCCCTCAAATGCGTTCGTTAGTCCTAATACATCTTAAATGCCATCCGACTGATTTGTCAGTCGCACCTATCCAGTTTACCAACCGGAGTAGGCACCGATACTGACATAATTTGTTTCCGTTGTAACCGGTGGCCTTTGAATGACTTAAGCGACCGCTAATCCCTATACATTTATGCCCTTCCACTACCCAAAAAGGATGGACCACTTACAAAACAGAACAGTTTTTACTCCATCCTTGGCTATTCTATGTTCAGTCGTGGGCGTCAGTTATATTTGGTCATGTCATTCTGCAACATTTTCTCTGACGCATCTTTTCTTTTCTGCTTCTCATCCTCTTTATAAATAATGAGCAGGTATTTAAATTTGCTTCTCAAGAAACAAGGGTCTACTCTGACCCTGTTATGCATGTGAACTAAGACAAGGCGTTGCACGCTCTGTGGACCGATTTGTTACTGAGGTAACTGGGTAGTGGATGATTGTTCAATTCTCTAAATATCGCTTAAATAGTTCACTTCTAACGTGATTGAATCTACCTTTTTGTAGAACCCGTGTGCAAGCAATCCCTGTTCTCTGAACAGTCGTTGTCAAATAGGCTTCACTGAGAAAGGTTACCGCTGCCTGTGCTCTGCTGGATTCACTGGCTCAGACTGCAAAGGTTGTTGCTTTTTAATGAGTTTGTGCCCCTTGAAACCGGGCTTATTAAAAAGTTCCAATCAAAAGAACTCTTTGTTGTTGATCGAATTTTTCAATAGCTTGGTGGTCTGTTTGAGTATGGGGTCTTTGACTCTTTTACGGGACCATCCTTATGGCATTTTTCTTTTTTCTTTAATTATATTTTTTGGAACTGCCATTAAATTTAAAATGAATGAATGAATAAACATAAACAGATTATCACGTTAAGAGTGAACCGCACAAAACCGAGAAAGCGACTCAAACGCTTTTCAGAATTTTCGTAACATCACGAACGTTACTGAAGTCAAAATGTCCTCTGAACCGGCGGTCTAAACAAGTGTGATATGACAGAGTTTACATACTAGAGCAATACATGTTGAGACATTGTTGTGACGTGTTGAAACTTTGTTGTGAAAAATACTGTGTCGAGACTGACCAGAGCTTAAGGACAATATTTAACTTAGCTTTTTGGTCTCTTTTTGTCTCTGCAGAAATTCCAGTTGTTATCACGTCTCCAACGGTTATTTCTACACAAGCAGGACAGCACGTCACTTTCACGTGCAGCGCGTCTGGTTTATTGCCCCCTATCATTACATGGAGTAAGTCTGAAGGAAGTCTGCCTGCTTCAAGAACTCTTATCACGGAAGAACAACTAACTATACTCAATGTTACGATAGATGACAGTGGTTTCTATGTGTGCAATGCTACGGGTGCTACATGGACAAATTCCTCTTCTGTCGAACTTAAAGTGTTTTGTAGTCTTGTCAACATAATTAAACCAGCTTCTTCTGTTACCCTGTTCGTTGGCCAAGCTATGAAATTTCTATGTACTACGTCAAGTGGAACAGAGTTGTGGATGTACAATGGAAGTACTTCACTACCTCAGGAAGTAGCTCTCGAGACACCAGGCGTATTACTCATTCCTTCACTTAGGAAAGATCACGTAGGTAACTACTCTTGTCTATCAGGAGATTCCCTTCAGAGGAATGTAAGTCTTCATGTTAAATTTCCAGAAACATGCAGCATAGTCAAGCAGGGCATTTGTGATGCCAGCGGTGATTATGTCATAGATCCTGATGGTGAACTAGGCGAAGATCCATTCACCGTTTATTGTAACATGACCGACAAGGGAGGGGTTGGGGTAACCGTTGTCAGCCATGACAGCGAGGACAGGATCCATGTAATAGGATTCGATGGTCGGGGTAGTTACAGACGCGACATTCACTACATCAGTGCCAGTCTCTCTCAGATCGTGAGTCTGATCCAAGTCTCCACAAATTGTCAGCAGTTCATCAAATACGAGTGCAAGGGAGCCGTAATGAGATTAGATAGAAATGATAAATATGCCTGGTGGGTGTCACGTGACGGTGTGGCCATGACGTATTGGGGTGGAGCTACCAACGGTTGCGCATGCGGGATGACCAATTCCTGTGCTAACCCATCGTGGTCGTGTAACTGTGATAAAAATGACAAAGTCTGGCGAGAAGACAGCGGTATTCTCGCGAACAAATTGGATCTTCCTGTCTCACAGCTAAGGTTTGGAGACGCTGGAGAGCATGGCGAGGAAGGATATCACACTCTTGGAAAATTAGAATGTTATGGAATAAATTAAAAGCAGACTCACTGGCTGGGAAAACTGAAATCCCGCAAATTGAATGAACTAGCCCGTGTGCAGGCTCGAATTGGCACAATTGAGCCTTCTAGCCAGCTAGGAATGAACTAATGGTTGACAATGTACATATCAGAGAGCAGAATTTATTGAAATACCGTAAAATTCCGAAAATAAGCCCCTCCATGTATAAGCCCCTCCAAATAAAAGCCCCCCAAACTCGTAACGCAACCCCCCCCCCCCGTTAAATCGCCCCTCCAAATATAAGCCCCCCGGGGGCTTGTACTTGGAAATTGCCCTCAAATACAAAGTAAAACAAGGCAAAAACGGTAAATTTCCTTCCATTTATAAGGCTAGCCCAATTGATTTTGAAACGCAAATTTCCCTCCGTAGATAAGCCCCTCCGAATATAAGCCCCTCCAAAAATTAGCCCCTCAAAAAGGGTATTTGAAAAATATAAGCCCCGGGGCTTATTTTCGGAATTTTACGCTATTATAAATGCTATGAATCATTTACTTATATTAAGGTAGGGATTTAGCTGAATTTTTAAAGAATTTTCCTGGTCTAAACATTACCTAAAGACCCAGTTGCATTATCCCAATATGACAGTCCTAGACAATGAGTAAGAAAACAAAAGCAATTCCTTCTAGGGACTCGGCCTGGACACTGATCTTTAGCCAATGCTCACATTTTTGCAGAAGTTATAAGTTATGTACTTTTTATCTCTTTTTGTTGAACCATTCAGAAAGTCTGAAATTTTGTAACCAACACCAGTTAGTCTTTTCATTTCGTAGTCAAGAGTAGAATTCTACCTAAAAACGACCCCTGCGTTCAAACAAACCGCCTCGTTAATACTACTTCTACTTCCCTCGGCCGCAACCGAGATATTACGACCCAGACTTGTTCCCAGTCCCTTTCTGTATTCGTGCTGTAATTTACGGGAAGGATGTAGTGAGTTCGCGGTGCATCAAGAGAAGAAAGGAAGAAAACGCGAAACGTCATCACTTTTTCTCTCCATTCCATCCCTAGAGCCTTTGCGCGCGTCTATGCTTCTTTCCATTTTCTTTTGCAAGAATAAAGAAGCGACGTCTGGGTACGAGTCTGATCACGTCCATTCTTTTTCGACCCAAACTATAGGAACATAGACTTAAGATTGGAAAATAAAATTGGCGAGCACAATAACTTACAGGTACACAAGAAGTGAAGAGGTCTTGTTAACAATTTTGATTTAATTCTCAGTTTTGGACCACTTTATCAGAAAAGCACTCTAAAGGCCTCATGGTAGCAAAAACAATCAACAATACAGATTTGAATCTTTTCTAATTAATTCTTCTTTTCAAGACCTTCTATCTACTGTGTTTATGATCAACTGCCAAACTCATTTATCAGCAACGACATGTTTTTTCGTTTAACTTTCTGTGAAAATAAGTTTCTATCTTGTAGACAGTGTGTCTCATTCTTAGAACAAAAATTATAGTGTTTTCTTTCTTCATTTGCATTGTGAAGCGGTGTGCATTAAAAAAGTAAGATGCTTTAGCCAGGCACGAAAATGTTAAGAACGGGTTTCTTTAACCGCTTTAAGGAGATGTAAATTATACGTAAGATATAAAATATCTGATCAGGGACCAGTGATGTATAAAAGTTATCTTCTGTCATCTTATTGTTATCTCAATTAGTATTGAATATTCTTGATACTACACTGTCATGCATAGCTAGATGACTGTTGAGATGACTGGCGCAATTGTGTTGACACTAACTTACCTGCAATCGTTGTATTGAGCATACCACGAACGCAGACCGAACAGGATATTTAGCCATTGTGGACGTACGTGCAGAAGGTATAGCAAAAGTAACAACCGGTTAGCAACTCATGACGAGCAACGACAAGGCAAGACGCTTTATTCTGTTGGCAAAATTCACGGGTCGCAAGGCCAGTAACGAGGAAAAGCTTGCCAAACTTTTGCAAAATTCGTCCTATAGAAAAGAACTCGAGGGACTACATCGCAAGGATTCATTGCGTCATAAAAATCAAGCAATCTCAAATGTACTGTTTCAAATTCTTCAAGTACAAGAAGTTGGAAGTACAAAAGAGTATGACCTAAGTGGAAGCATTTTTAAGGTCCATGTTGTAGAGGATACAGAACTATGAAAGAATATTAACAGCATCATTTCAGCGCAACTTCTTCATTTACCCACAAAACTCAGTGTCAATTTCAGATACTATAACGCTGTGATTGTCATGTAGCTTGTTATCAACCTATTGGTAGCAATTCTAGAACTGTTAATGGACAAGATCACCTTGAAAACCGCTATTTCCGTTACCTGGCTCTGCAATTATCCATAAAGAAAAGTGATAACAGTAATAGGAAGGTTTCAGCAAACATGTATACATATCTTGGACATCCAAGCACTATCCTTTTAATCGGCGAGGGCGGCAAAAATCATAAGCTGTAAACTTTAACTCTCTAAATCCAAAGTCAAGTGTCTGGTCAAGTGCTAACTTACACAAGGCATCTAAGAATAGTGTAAAAACTGTAAGTATATCATGCAACTGTTCATTTCACGAAAAAAAAAACATTACTGTGCGCAGTGTGTTGCAAGAATTATCCTAGAATTAGTGCTTATAAAAAGGCCATTGAAGCATGAGCATTAGTATTTTGTTTACTACCTTAAGTAATTGAACTCATAAAGCCGGATGCCATAAAGTGAATATGTCTGAAAGAATAATTTCCAATTATAATCTGCAGAGGTTATTTAACGGTGTTCAATTCAGAAGCTGTGGGTGGATTAAGTAAATATCCCAGAAGAAATAAATTATCAGATCTCCGCAAATTGACAACATGTTTTCCATTCTTAATGATTGATTGAGCATTGAGGTGTTTTCACACTGATGCCCATTAGACATCATCGTTTAAGTCTTTGTCATATTAAACAAAGGCAAAATGATAAATCAAACAGACATTTGCAGATCTAAGACAAGTAGATTTAAAACAACAAACCACTATTTTAACCACCATTTCATTCGTTATCAAGGGCGTTGTATCATTATATCTAAGCGAAAGCGGCAACATGTCACCCTCTTCACTGTTCAGTTGTTATAAGCGCCATGTTAATTGCTGTTGATTATCAATACATCAATGATACTTTCGTCATCAATCATGGATACGTTCGTCAACAACGTCAACTTACACATGAGTGAGCCATACGTTACATTAAAAACCCGCGACCAAGAACCTGTTAGGCTAAGCCTTGCCACTGTTAGGTCCACTCTATACAAGAACTTGTTTAGACAAGAACTTAGATAAGAACTTGTTTAAACAAGTTCTTATCGTTTAAAATCTACAAAAAATTTTGTACACTTGGGCAAATTTCTCCTTGAGACATGTGCTTTATTACTTCAACTGCAATTGTAATGGTATACAGGTTTTGGCTAAGGAATGGGTTGAATACAACTAAATACTCTTAGCTACAATGTATTTTTTCTTCAGGAAATAAGAACCTACTTAGAATCCTAAATAGTCTAAAGTTATGCTAATTAACATTTATGTAAGAACCTGTTAAGGCCAACTTGGAAAAATGCAGGTTCTTAGTCGCGGGTTTTTACTGTATCTTTGTTCAAGTCAGAAAAAAACCCTTATTTCTCAAAGCATTACCTAAAATGAACACAAAACAGGCAAATAATACAAGGAAAAAGTTTACATAATAAGCTATTCGTGATGGTCAATCGAAAAAGTTTGATTCATGCAATGAGTTGATTTAATGAAACAGATAAGTTTCACAATTGTTCGTTCTAACGCTCCCTGCACCTTTTGTTAAAATTTGAAAAGGTGGTCAGGAGACCAAGGAGTTCAACAGAAGGACCCTATGGATGCAAATGAGTCATATGACAAAACTGACACACATTTTAATCCTATATGAACTAATGGGCCTTTTGTAACTAAATGGTCACATGGCACAAAAACGCCTTGATGGGATGCAAACAATTGACGCAGTGTGGCAAGAAAAAAAATGCTAATAGTTTTCTTTCTATTCAACAATGGAGGTCAAAAGACCTTTGAACCGCTGGAAAAACAGTCCCAAGTAATTGCACCATAATTAAATTTTTTTATAGGCTTTGGGTTCGTCCCTTCGTCCCCTCACTCCTCCCCAGCAAAGTTTCACCCAAAAAAGGACTCATTTTCAACCATTTTGTTCAAAATTCAAAGTTGTTTGGGGTGGGGAGGAGGTTCCAACACACTTTTGACGCTCATTGGGAGTTCCTTTTCGTAGTTTGCATCCTAGCAAGGTGTTTTTGAATCATTTGACTGTTAAGCTTTAAAAAGCCAGCACATTGGGGCATCCTATCCACTTCCCATTTCTTATTTCTCACCTCAAGAAGCCAGGGCGAAAGATGGCATGGTCTTTGCGCTTAGCCACTGGCTGTTTTGGTTCCTCATTTTATTTTCTGATTTCCTGGTTGTTGTGTTGGTGCACGTGGTACCTTATTTTCTTTAATTCTCCATGTGGGGTGTATTCGAGCCACTCGCTCGCTACACGATGAGGTACCAGGAATCTGATTTACGTCTTGGTCTTTCATGACTTTCTGCTAACAATAACTAACTAGTTTCTAGTTAACTAACTACTACTTCTAACTATGTAGACAAAATCAAGACCAACCTTGGCCCACTAAATGATTAAAAGATGACACAAATCAGTCTTAAAAATAACTTTCAAAATACTTTACAGCACCCATCATATTCGTATTTACCTTATTTATTTGTTCCCCGACTCGTCGTCCTTTTCGTTACCTAGTCCTACTCACTCCCAGCCTCGTACCCAGGCCAGTTCGCGCTATCTGAGTGACCAGAGGGGGCTTGGAACCTTAACAAGTGACGTCACATACGAAATCACTGAGGACGACTGGGAACGAGGCTGACCCACTCCCACATCCCACGACAGATGGGCATTAGGGATGGTCAGAGAATGCAACGTTCCTTGGGGCTCAGTTTAGCAAAAAGGTTCCT